CGTGGGGCTCCAAGATGCCCTTCGGGGAGCTGATGTTTGAGTCGAGCAGCAGCTGCGGCTGGGTGCACGGCGTGTGCTTCTCAGCCAGCGGCAGCCGCGTGGCCTGGGTCAGCCACGACAGCACGGTGTGCCTGGCTGACGCTGACAAGAAGATGGCGTGAGTACTGGTCACCCAAGGGGGGACAACAGAGGCACGGAGCAGGACGGGGCTGGCGGCTGACCTCTCTCTCTCACTCAGAGTCACAACCCTGGCCTCTGAAACGCTGCCACTGCTGGCCGTGACCTTCATCACAGAAAACAGTCTGGTGGCTGCGGTAAGGAAGGAGGGAATCGGTAGCCAATTACAATACGTCTCCCCGTAGCGAGCCCAGAGGTGCCCAGTTAGATCCACTCGTTCCCTCCCTGCTTCCTCCCTCCCTTTCTTTCATCCATCCATCCTTTCGTCCATATGTCTGTATTGACTAGGGTGTTGTGAGGGGGCTCTGCTCAGTGCAGATGGAGGCTTTGTCACCAAAATGCTTCTCCAACGGCCATGGAGGGAGGAGGGGGAGCGGAGATCATGCCCTGGATGGATCTTTACATCTCTGCCTATTTTATTGGCAAGTATTTGAAATGACAGGGTCAGCCGAAACCGGTTTGGCTCAGTGGATAGAGCGTCGGCATGCAGACTGAAGGGTCCCAGGTTCTATTCCCATCAAGGGCATGTACGTGGGTTGTGGGCATATCCCCAGTGGAGGGTGTGCAGGAGGCAGCTGATCGATGTCTCTCTCTCTCTCATCGATGTTTCTGGCTCTCTATCCCTCTTCCTTCCTCTCTGTAAAAAAAAAATCAATAAAAAATAAATTTTTTTAAAAAGAAATGACAGGGTCACACCTCACTCAGAGTGGGGGTGTGTGGGGTGCGGTTCTACCATGTGTCCAGAGGGCACTACTGTTCTCCCCTCCTTCTGCCCGCCTTGGTCACCCTCAGCAAACATAGTGAGGGTCCTCAAGGGGGATCAAGCCCCCTTGGCCTATTAGGACAGAAGGTCCCTGGGCTCTCAGAGGAGTCCCAGACAAGCTTTCTCATCTAGACACTGGTTTTACTGGGGTAGGAGCCACCCCTATTTGCTTGGGCTTGTCTGGCAGTGTCCACAAGCTTGCATCAGCCTCCCGGTAGCTGCTCCATCCAAGTCCCTCCAGCCTGTGCGGCCGCCAGACTCATGGACCAGTTTCCCCTTGCCGGCACGCCCTGCCTCCAGCCTGCTTCCCGGGTGGAAAATGGGGGCGCTGCGCCTGCCCTGGGCCTGGGCTCAAACAGCACCCGCCCCACCGCAGGGCCACGACTGCTTCCCGGTGCTTTTCACCTACGACGGCGCCGCGGGGACGCTGAGCTTCGGGGGGCGGCTGGACGTGCCCAAACAGAACTCGCAGCGCGGCCTGACCGCCCGCGAGCGCTTCCAGAACCTGGACAAGAAGGCGAGCTCCGAGGGCGGCGTGGCCGGCGGGACAGGCCTGGACTCGCTGCACAAGAACAGCGTCAGGTGAGGGCGGCCTGGAGCGCGTGGTCCTGGGAGCGTGGTCTGGACTCTAGCAGCTTGGAGGTGTGGCCCCGGCTCTGGGGAGCCAGGTGGATCTCTTTGGGTTGCATAATACCATCTGGTGGGGCGTTTGCAGGACGCGGTGGTGAGGACCATCGTAGGGGTGGGGCCTGCTTCTCGGCTGGCCAGGCAGCGACCAGCTATGGGCGGGGCCACAGCTGAAGCTGGTCCAGTGCTAGAAACTGGTGAACTGGTGGCAGGACCAAAGGTCCAGCAGCAGCCTCTGGGGAACTAGGGTGTGATGAGAAGGCCCTCCAAAACTTCCAAATCCGGCAGCCACGGGTGTGCGCCCTGTGGCAAATGAAGAACTTTGGCAACTTTCTGACCGAGCCAGTGAAGCCCGCCTGTGGCTGCTGGGTACAGTGGTGTCTTCTGACCCAATACCTTTGTCCTACTTGCAAAGCTCTTCAGAACTAGTTCTCGACCTCCCAGCCCCACCTTTTTATTCTGCCCCCCTATTGTCCCTACACACATTCCCCAGACACGTCCTCCCTGCCCTGCCCAGGCCCTTTATCGAGTGCCAGTCGCCTGGGCTGCCCTTTGTGCCTTGCACACTACTGCGGTTCCTACACCCGTGAGCCCCGCTCTGTGATCCTGCACAGCCCGCCCCCAGGCTGTCCCTGCGAGCAAACCCCAGGACTCACTGAAGTCAGTGCCCCCAAGAGCTCCTGGAGGGCAGGTTGGACTTGAGTTCAGCACAGGCTGGGATCCATAAGACCCTCGTCATCTTTGCAGCCAGATCTCGGTGCTCAGCGGGGGTAAGGCCAAGTGCTCGCAGTTCTGCACTACTGGCATGGATGGCGGCATGAGCATCTGGGATGTGAAGGTGAGTCTTACCCAATCCCGGCTTCCCACCGCACTCCCCGGGGCCCTTCGTCCCATTTTGCCTGGGCAGCCTCCCTGGATGCCGTCTTTCAAGTGGGAGAAAGGCACTCGGAGTGCTGAAAGCGGGGAGCCGGGCCCGCATGCTGAGGCACCTCCGTTTTAGGACTGGGATTCAAACCAGGTCTGTTGGGCCCCAAAGACCCAAGTTTTCTGCCCTCTGCCTGGGGTTGGGGTGGGTAGAATGTCTACAGGACAGCTAAGAACCAGCCTGTTCTGCTCATCTCCTTCCAGAGCTTGGAATCGGCCTTGAAGGACCTCAAGATCAAATGACCTGTGAGGAGAATGTGGGCCTCATCCCAGCTGCTGCGGGAGGGGTCAGGGAAGCTAAGGCTCGCTTTGCTGAGTATTTCTAGAGTACCCATAGGGGAAAGGGAGGGGAGGGGGTTGGAAGCTTTTCTACCTATTTGAAGGAACATGTGCCTTTTTCTTAAACAAATACTTTCATTTATTGTAAAAAAAAAATGTCCCCAAAGCACTCTGCTGGTCATGAACTGCTTTAAAACGTGGAGGTGATAAAAGTACAATTGTAGACATGCTCGCCTGTGTTTGGAAGAGGTTAGTTTTTGCAGACATAGGTACCTTAAACCCAAGAGCCTTCCCCCACATGGTTCCTTCCCCACTGGAGTCTTCCCCCACTAGGGAAGGTATCTTCCCGACATTCAGCAGTCAGATTCCTAGACTATTGCTTATTCCAGGCTGATTCTGGGGTTTAATGTAAATTTAATTACTCTGTTTGATGTTTTGCAGTTGGTTTCTGGTAAATGCTCATTATTTTTTAAGATTCTCTCCCCGTCCCATTTTCATTTTATTCAGAGGGTTATGTTTGTTTTTTAATGAAACTATACTTTATAGTTATGGGTTTTTAAAAATCTAGGTCAGTAGTAGGCAAACTGTGGCTTGCAAGCCACATTCGGCTCTTTGGCCCCTTGAGGGGTTTTTTTTGTGTTTCTTTCTTTCTTTTTTTTTTTTTTTTTTTTTAATATATTTTGATTTTTTACAAAGGAAAGAAGAGAGCTAGAAACATCAGATGAGAGAGACCAATGTACATGCCCTTGACTGGAATCGAACCTGGGACCTTTCAGTCCGCAGACCGATGCTCTATCCACTGAGCCAAACCGGTTTCGGCGGCCGCTTGAGTTTTTAGCAAAGGTCAGAGTACCCTAATTAATAACAATGCACCTACCTATATAGTCTAAGTTTTGGCTCTCAAAAGAAATTTCAATTGTATTGTTGATGTTTGAGTTTGCTGACCACCGGTCTAGGTAATGAGGGAGTCTCTGTAGGCCAGGATGAGCTGCATATGCTGGCAGTGGTGGTAGCCCTCCTCAGGGGCCCAAGGCTGTGACCTCCAGCATGGCCAAGCCCAGGGGTGTGGTAGGACCATGTGCAAAGGAAGGATGATGCTATTCATGAGGCAGAGTGCCTCTCAGGGGGGCCCAGGGGGCAGGACAGGCACTATGGCGGAGCCTGCAGGCAGCCGTGATTGTGCTAAGCCCCAGCCTCCCTGCTGCCATCCCACCATAAAGGATGGTAAGGATTGAATGAGATAATACTTGGCAGTCATGCTGGATATCAGCTATTAGGATGCTTCCTTCCTGTCTGCACTGAAATCCTGAGGCTGTTACCACCAGGGGGCACCCGCTGCTGCCAGCCTGCTGTGGACATGGACAGGGCCCTGGCCACTCTGGCCTAAGACTCCTACTTGGTTAAAGGGAGAAGGCCAACTCCTGTATCGTGAGGTCTCCAGTTTGGATGCCCAGGGTCCAGTCCCCAAACCCTGCTCAGTGCCCACTGAACCTGTGGGGCAGGCTTGCCTTGAGAGTGACAACATGCCTGCTGGGTGGAAATGGCCCAGGCATAAGGGCCCAAAAATGGATCATGGAACAAGGGTTACGATAATGTCAAGTTTAATCTGCCAAATATACAAGTTGGATTTGTAGAGCATGTTTTGCCTGGGTGCTGCACAGTAAACAGCGGTTTCTTGAAATGATCCATGGGTAGGGTTAAGAAGGGGCCCTGGTCAGAAAGGTGGGAATGGGGCAGAGAAGGGCACAGGGGAGGCCATGAGAAGAGCCGTGACCCTCAGAGATCCAGGCTCCCAGATGACAGCCCCCGAGTGAGCACCCAGGCAACACAGATGGGCTGGTTGTTGCAAACTCACCAGCAGCAGCCCCCAGCACAACCACCCCCTACTGTGCAATCTACTGGACAAACGGACGCTCTTCTTATCCCACCTCCCAGGCACCCCCAACAAAAGTTCTGAATTCTAAAAACAGCAAAAACATTCGAATGGTTACATATGAAATGCTGTCCTGCATCTTTCTGTCTCAAAGATAGCAGCTGCCCCCTCCCCCCAGCCCCCCACCCGCCTTCCCCCAAACAATTTCCGTGCCAAGATGAAGAGGAGACCCCAGGCTGGGGGGAACTCCTTGTCTTGAGGGGCTGCTGCCTTGGTGACAGGGCACAGGGTGGGCGAGACACAGCAGCAGTCCTGGCCACATGGCCCAGTTCCCTGGTGTCTCCTCCTCAGGCCTTGTTACTTATTCAGGGAGAGCGACTGCATTCGTTTTCCTGACAAAGTTGCGTCATCTTTTGCTAAAGAGTAGAAAGGGAAGAAAAGGGTAGTTAAAACATATCCAACCCCACTCCCAGAATCGGAACTGTAAGTCTGATAGGCCTCAGAAAACATTTGTGCAACTGGCTCACCAGGCAGAGACTGAGAGGCCTGCCTGATACCCTCCAGCGGGGAAAGGATTTCTGCTAAAGCCACTGAACCCTGGTGTGCAGACATTCTCACTGAGTTTGGGGCCCACTCCATAAAGACCCACCAATGCCCAATCCAGGACTAAAATAGAGTCTTTTTACACTGCCCCTGGCAGAACCCAGTAATTCCAATCTCTCCCAGTAGATGAATTCTCTAAAATCAGCAACAGTGTTCAGAGTTACACAGGAAGTCCTTTCCTGCTTGGGATTTGTGAAGCAAGAGCCGTGAGCGGGAGCCGGGATAACCAGGTTATCTCCAGTGTGGTAACATGCCCCTGGATAACTGGTTTCCCATTTCTAGGCCTGTTTCCTTGCTATTTGGTGAGGAGGCAGGAGAGCAGGGTCCCTAAGGGCCCTCATGGTCCCACATGTAGAATGCACTAGATAAAGACATAAGAACACGAGCCAAAAGTTCCTATAAACCAGACCAACTCCCACAGCCAACCTGGCCTACAGGAACCCTCTACCACCTTTGCCCACTGGAGGGAGGACATGGAGAAAGGACACTTGGGTCAGATTTCATCTGAGTCTGCCATGAAACCCAGCCCATCCTGCCCCACCTCCCAAGCCCCTCACACAGACAGAGGTTATCCCAGACAGCTCCCCCAGCCACACAAGGCACCAGACCTCGGTGGGACCTTCCAACTCGAAGATCTGTACTGATCTATCCCTGAGGCCTCTCTCAGATGCCACAACAGTGCTCTGCTGAAGTTCAAACCCATATTTAACCCTCTGCTGCTGTGGGTCCCTCCGAGCACCCTTTGGGGAGGGGTTAGGAACTCCCACTTCCACCTAAAGTGAGGAGGGTGCACACACACAGGGTGGGCCTCTACCAAACAATCTGACACCCATTTCACAACAGGGACAAGTGCAGGTTTATGCCCAGAACCAGCCAGACAGAGCTACAGTGACTCAGGACTTACCTTTCCTTTCTTCTTCTTTCTTCTTGGCAGCTTCTTCCCGCTGTTTTCGGATAATTGCCAGCCGGGCAAGGTCAGCTTTGGCTTGCTCTGTTTTCCCAGCTAAATGCATTTTCATGTAACGCTCTTTTGCTTTCTGCTTCTCGATTTCTTCTCTGTTTGGATAAAATAGTGTCACAGGAGACATCTTCCCCACCATTATCAGCTGAGGTGGATGTGGTCAAGTATTCAGGCCTAGGCCCAAGTGGTGGAGGGCCCCCTGGTTAAGGGAGAGGCCCGGCTCCATGTGCCCCTCCCTGAGGGACACTCACCAAACAAAACACGCAGAGGGACCAGTCTGGACCTCTGCATGGCAGACTCAAGGGGCTGGGAGAAGCAAAGTTATGTACTCAGCCTCCTCAGATGGAAAACATAGGGTAAATGGGTAGGCTCAGGGTCTGTGACCTGGGAAAGCCTTAATACAATAGGGACCATGCCTGGCTGGGGTGGTGAGGAGTGGGCAGGGTATGGCTGACTAGGATCTGGTGTCCACAGTGAGAAAGGAAAACCAAAACCAAGTGAACTGTGTCCACAGAAGATGACCAGAGGAGGAAGGCAATAGAAACCACATTCTATAAGGGGTGAAGAAAGGAGTGAACCAAATGGCCATGGATGGGAACTAGGCACACCCAATCCAAGTAGACATGACACTACACATTCTCAATCAGTGGAGCTCAGATGTGCATGAGGCTGCCTCCAAAGGGGTGTGAATAAGAGCTTGACTCCCATGAGGCAAAGGTGACAGCCACCAACACCATAAGTAGAGAGAGGGGAGGGTCATTAATTTCCCTTTGAGGATCTTCTTCCCAGGCCTGAGATTCTGAACTGGAATGGGCACCTGTGAGGGTGTGAGATTAGAATGTTCCATTTACACCAGGTTCTTGGAAGAGCCGATTTTGGAGGTGGCAGAGAAGTTCGCCTGGCAGGAGGTTGGGGAAGGGAGAAACTGGGCCTCATAGCACACAGGGCTGGGGAGTAATGAAAAACAAGGCATGGGGCATGGCCAGAGGGGAGGGAAAACCTCCCAGCAATCAAAGTTGGGTGTGCAGATATCTCACCCAGAAGACTCTGGACAAAACACTCACTAAAAAGATGAGACAGGAATACCTGTCAGCTACACTTGGAGGGAGGAGGGGGTCAGGAAGCATCTGGATGAGAAACAAGGTTGCCTAAAGGCTCTCGGGGCCCCTCAGTGAAGGCTCAGAGCAGCAACAGGATCCCCTTTCACTGGTGAGAAGGAATCTATTGGAGGAGGAGAGTCCACCAAAACCGCTAATCACACCCCAGCTTGTGGACCTTCCTCAGGGGTTTTCCCTGACCCCTTCCTCGTGGGATTTTCAGACCCCTCACGGAGCCAGCCCAGGGAGGGGATTTAAAGCCCAGCAGCCTCCTCAGAAGAAAAAACAGCAGCTTTCCTTAACGACCTCCAACCTCTGTAAGACTCTTGATGTCACCTGGCAGCCATCAAAGTCAGGTTACTGCTTATGGAAAACTGGCCATGTGCAGGGCACCTTGGTACTTGACTATGATCCTCACACAATCTACAAGGAAACTATCTGCTGCTCCATTTTCACCTAAGACTTGTAGAGGGCTGGACAGCCGGTGGATCTCCCTGCACTGTGCTGTCTTCTGGACTCCACAGGCCCCAGATCCCCTCCTCATCTCACAGCCATGGCATTACAGATGGGTACAGGCCAGGAATGATGAGATCAGGCTGGATAGGGAAGTGTCCCTGAAATGGGGTGCAATAGAAGCAGAAACTATAGCAGAACCCTCTGTAACTCGGGGGATTAATTCAAGTGCAAAACTCAGGTCTGAAACTGCTCTCCTGTTTCTATTGATGAATTTGAAAAGTCTGCTTTTTTGTTTTGTGGAGAAGCTTCTAAAGCAGTGGAAGCCACTGAAGATCTCAGAGCCCAGGAAGCGGGGGCCTCAGTGGAGGTGGGTGCCTCAGCCCCCACAGGTCAGCCCCTGGCCTATGTGCTCAGGTCACCAGGCCCAGCAGCAGAGGTTACCGTTCTCTCCTTGAAAGCTCCTTGGGTCCATCCAAGTCGAGTTGTGTGACTTTTTTGGTTGTCTGTGCCACTCGGTTGGGGTTCTCGATGTCGATAAGGCCTTCCACACCTTTGCGCTTTTGCTAAGATAGGACAAGAAGCTGGAGTTGGAGAAGTTTAGGTCCTGCAGAGCCCCCAACAGCCCATTTGGATGGGGATAAACTCCTGTTCCACCCCAGCCCAGCCCGATGCTTGGCCCAAAACCTCCCAGGATTGTCTTTACCAGTACCAGCATGGGAGATACAGAGAACTAGTGTATATGACTTAGAGCCCAACCTATGCTAAGTCCCAGCAGCCAGGGATTATTATCCCACTTTCAAAGGTGACAAAATGGAGGCACAGGATTAAACAACTTGCCTAAAGCCAACCAATAAGTAGACAATAGATGAGATGGGAACCCAAGTCAAAATTGCCCAGCACAGAGCACTCATTGCTCCTCCACTTCAAGTTCAGACTCCAAAAGCTGTTTTCCATGGAATCTCACGCCTGACCACAACATGCAATGCTGGATCCCGAGTACAGTGGGCCAATGATGGTCTCAGGACCAATTCTAATTCCTAGCCATCTAAGCTGACAGCGGGGAAATACGACTTCAGCCATCAGAACACAGCCTATGAGTTTTGAATGCTGGCCCAAGAACCTGGAGCCTGAACCTCCCAAATCCCAGAGAAATTCAGAAGAAATGAGAACACAAGTTCTCGATGTAATAGATTTGGTCAACAAATCAGACCCTGCCAATGCCATCTTTCTCTTTAATAAAGTGACCGGAAAGACAGCTTCTAAACACCAGTCAATCTGATCACTATACAGAGCTGCAGATACCTATATCCAATCTGGCTACATCTATGCATCTCAATTTGGATAACTGATATCACAAACTTAATGTGTCTAAAACAGAACTTAAGATTCACCCCCAACCCACCCTGTTCCTCTCCAGAACCCTAAGCATGGCCTTATTCCTTCTTACCTCAGCCCCCTCACCCAACCTCACTAAGTCTATCTCTAAAATATGCCCACTTTTCTGTACTGCCATTGCCACCACCCTAATGTAAACCACAAATTCTTGGCTGGGTTCCTACCAGCATTTCACTGCTTCCCAAACTCAACATCCCACAATTCACTCTTTGCAGAGCAGCCAAAACAATCTTTTAAATCTGGTCTCCTCTCTCTCCAACTTCGAGACCTCCACCAGCTGCCCACTGTCCATCTACAGTGAAACCCAAACCCCTTTAACAGCCATACCAGAGCTGCCCTTGTCAACCTTTCCTCCTTCACCCCTAACCACGCTACTCCTTACCCATCAAGTCACAGCCCACCAACCTCCTCCAATGTCTGAAACATGATCAGGTGGTTCCACCCCAGGAACTTTACAGTTACTAATCTGGCTGCCTCAACTGCTCTGCATGGCCGGTTCCATCTTGTTTGAAATCTCAGTTTAAAAGTAACCTCCTTAACACACACTACTCCCAAGTATCCTTGATCACAGTCCATTTTATCTATACTACTTGAAATTACATCGTTCATTTACTTCTCTATTGTCCATACAATCATGTGCCCCTTAACAGTGATACATACAAAAAAATACATCAGTAAGCGATTTTGCCATTGTTTGAACATTAGAGTACACTTACACAAACCTAGATGGTATAGCCCAGTGGTAAGCAAAATGCGGCTCACAAGCCAAATGGGGCTCTTTGGCCCGTTGAGTGTGGCTCTTCCACAAAATACCATGGCCTGGCCGAGTCTATTTTGAAGAAGTGGTGTTAGAAAAGTTTAAGTTTTAAAAATTTGGCTCTCAAAAGAAATTTCAATCATTGTACTATTGATATTTGGCTCTGTTGACTAATGAGTTTGCCAAGCACTGGTATAGCCTAAGTAAGTGTCCGTGCTATGCATTTACATGACTCGTAGGTTTGTTTACACAGCATCACCATACATTTCGTGAGTATACCACAATGTTACAATAGCTATGTTACTAGATGACAGGAAATTTTCAGCTCCATTATAATCTTATGGGACCACCATCACATATGTGGTCCACCTTTGACAAAAACATCGTTATATAAACTCTTACAAGCAAGGACTCTGTCTGCAACTGCCATTGGGACTGGTGATCAACAGGTACTTAACAAATGTTTGTTGAATGAATGAGTTCAGGTCTCAGGCCCCCACCAAGCTCAGTACCTGGTAATCATCATCTTCATCCTCACTCTCATCTGAGTCTAGTGATTTCTTCTCCTTTTTGGGGTCACCTGCAGCCCCATCTCCATCTTCTTCTCCTTGTTCCTCTTCTTCCTATTCCAGAAATGGATAACCTACAGAATTAAAAATGCAAAACAAAACCACAAGACTATCACCCCCGTCTCCCGCCCCAACTACATCTAGACTCTGAACTTTGAGAAGGCCGAGATCAAGGATGACAAGGTTCCTACTCCAAGATCCTGGTCCCCCGCACCCCCTGCGGGGGAGAGGGGGGGGTGAGCTGGGTCAGAAGCAGCCTATCCACTAGACTCTGCTGTTCACCTTCTCTTCTGCTTCCCCAGCTGCCATATGCAGCTGTCAAATCATACTCACTTTTACTGGGCAAGTCCTCCCCTGCTTTCCACACCCACAATCAGTGGCAGTGATGCCCTGCTACACCAGCTTCCCAAGACAATGTCCTGGCACACCACTTCCCTCCACTTCTCTTGCCTCCTCACCAAAGGCAAGAGAAGTGGAGGAAACCTGTACATATTCTCCACGGTCCTGCTCAGCTGCCAACTCCCTCACAAGGCAGGCCCTCCTTCCTTGTACCCCAGCCCCTCTACCCTAACCTGACTGTGCTTCCATCAGCCCTTATGCAGGTGAGAATCTAAAGGTGTGGCAAGGGACACGAACAACGATGACAGAAACATAGTATTCTGTTTCCTGTAAGTTGTCTGGAAAAAAGCCAAGTAGAGCTAACTACTAAGCCTGCACTGGAGAGGGAAGAGTGGGTAGCACCAGTGAGAGTCACAGAAGAGGTGACAATTGAGCAAGGTCTGGGAAACAAATGTTACTTTGCCTGGTAGGCGTATGGGAAGGCAGGGCATCACATTGTGCTGGGTTTGGCAAGCAGTCCTGTATGGCTGGAACAGACAAGGAGTGGTGCTGGGAGCTCAACCTAGAGCCTGGCAAAGGGCGGTTCCCTGGAAGGTGGGAACACAGGAATAAGAACAGAGACTCACTAAGGCAACCGTTCTGACTGAACAAAGTTCTAATTGATCCAATCAGAGGATGGCCACCATTGGTTGTTTTGAGACTCATGCCTGCTCCTTGCTGCTCCCCAGATTCCAGGTGTAGGCTTCTTCCTGAGAATAGGTGGTCCTTGCCAGGACTATCTGGGTGCCAGAGGCAGGCACCACCCAGGGACACAATGTACTCACCCTGGCCTTCTGCTTTTCAGCTTGGAGCTGTGCGTCAATCTCCTCAGGGCTCGTGTATTGCCGTGCCCGGCCTTTGTGGCCTCCCTTTCTCCCTGCAAGAGGATTGGCAATTTAGGAAGACGGGAGGGAAGCAGCTTCCTTGATTGCCGGAGAGCTGTGTCCTGCTTGAGGCACTCTCATCAGAGATTGTAGACCTCACCTGTGCCTCACTAAACACAACCCAAACCTTTACTTCCCCATCCTCATATACTCAAAGGAAAAAAATAGGCAACATATGACTACCTGATGCAGCACTAAACTACGTGCTGGATGCAGGCTCCCACAAACAAGACCTGAGGGGAGGATATGGGGGAGAGCATATCACCTGGTCCCTTAGAATCCAAACATAGATGCAATTATGAGAACACTAGAGGCCCAGTGCACGAAATTCGTGCGGGGGTGGGGTGGGGGGAGGGTGTTCCTCAGCACAGCCTGCACCCTCTCTAATCTGGGACCCCTCAAGGGATGTGTGACTGCATGGGGAGTCAGACATCTCTCTCACAATCCAGGACTGCTGGCTCCCAACTGCTCATCTGCCTGCCTTCCTGATTGCCCCTAACCACTTCTGCCTGCCAGCCTAATCACCCCCTAACCACTCCCCTGCCAGCCTGATTGATACCTAACTGCTCCCCTGCCAGCCTGTTTGCCCCTAACTGCCCTCCCTTGTAGGCCTGGGTCCCCCACCTCCAACTGCATGCACATGTAGATGGGCGGGGGCTTGACGCTACGTGCACCATGAGGCCGGGGTTCCTGCAGCTCCGCCTGGCACGGAGGCAGGCCCCACAGCTCCAGCCTACCTCTTTGGAGCAATCCATCAAGGAGCGGTAGGGTCTACCTCTTTGGGGTAATTGATCACGGGGCTCCCCCACTGTGAAAGGACACAGGCCAGGGGGAGGAGGGCTATTACCCCGCAGTGCATGAATTTCATGCACCAGGCCTCTGGTAAAAATATTAAGAAAGGGTATGCTATGAAATTAGTAACAGGATTTAATAATATAGTAATTCACAGTATACCGTATCATCCTAACTTTAGCATTATAGTTGCTAATACTATAGAACACGAAACAGAAGCTTCAACATGTGCTTTTGGAGATCGAGACCATATAAAGGCATCTTTACTATAAAAGCTATCATGTACGCTAGTCACAATAATGTATTACCTCAAGAACATATAATGATTTAATTCAATATTGGGTCAATATAAAATTTAGTGAGCCTACAGTATTTTGAATGTAGGTTAATGTGATTAGTAAAGGTAGTGACTCTAATGGAGTATAAAATAAGAAATAGATTCAAGCATTAAGTCACTCAGTCTGCCACCCTTAGTGTGTAATAAGAATGGGGACTAGAGTGGCTTCAAATAAGATATAAAATTCTGAAAATGTTATGATCAAGAACATTTGGAGAATATAATAATCCTAATATATACAGAGCCAGGTGCTGTCACAACCAAACAGACAACCAGTCACCATGAAGTGCCTGGAGCACCTCTCATTCCCCACCCCCACAAGCTGCTCAGCATGAAGTTGGGGATGGTAGTGGGTGGGATTGGGGACTGTTGAGCGGCAGCAGCAAGCTTAGCTGAGCAGTCATGGGCAGCAGCAAGTTTTGCAGAGCAGTCGCAGGGTGGGGGGAATTTCACGGAGCATGGCGGGTCGGAGGAGCCTCTCGGAGCAGTGGTGGGCGGGGGGAGCATTGTGGAGTAGAGGAGCAGTGAGCATCGCAGAGCCTCTCGGGGAAGGGAGCTTCATGTAGCGCAGCAGGGTGGCAGAAGCCAGCGAAGGAGGCCAGGCTAGGACTACGGACCCTAACCACACACGATTTCGTGCACGCTGGGCTTCTAGTATATTAATAATTTTTCCCGTTTAAGGTTCTTTGGCCAGGTGAAATGAACTAGCAACAATCGTAAGTGGTAATAGTCGGGGGTAGTGTAAGTAGTGGGGTAGAGAATCAGAGAAGAATACTATTGATAGGTTTAGGCTATTATAATTAGCCTGGTTTATTAGGGGTAGACATGCTAGGCTAATTATTAGCCTACTAGAGGCCTGGTGCATGAATTCGTACACGGGCGGGGTCCCTCACCCAGGCCGGATGGCTGTGGGAGTGCACTGACCACCAGGGGGAAGCTCCTATGTTTTTATTTTTGTTTTAAATATATTCTTATTGATTTTACATAGAGAGAAATTAAGAGGGATAGAGAGCTAGAAACGTCGATGACAGAGAAACATCGACCAGCTGCCTCCTGCAAACCCCCTACTGGGGATGTGCCCACAACCAAGGCACATGCCCTTGACCGGAATTGAACCCGGGACCTTTCAGTCCGCAGGCCGACGCTCTATCCACTGAGCCAAACTGGTTTCTGTGGGAAGCTCCTATGTTGACCAGTGCACATCATAGCGACCAATCAGCCAGTCATAACAGTGCTTAGGCTTTAATACACACACACACACACACACACACACACACACACACACACTGTAGAATTAATTCAGATTACTTTTTGAAAATCATGTATACACTTACAAGTTCAGGAAGCACAGAGTCCCAAACAAGAGAAGCCCAAAAAGGGCCACACCAAGACACATCATAGTTAAAATGCCAAGCCCTAGTCTGGGTTAGTTGGTTTTAGAGAGGAGGCGGCAGCCTGCTGCCGAGAGCATGGAAGAGGAGACAAAGCCATGTCCAGAGCCTGGCAGGGTTGGGCCTGGGCTCCGAGGTGCCCCAGTTGCGGGGAGGGCTGTGCGGACCCACACTGTCCTGCCACCACCACCACTGCCTCACAACACGCCCGCCACCTCCAGAGCAGCCTTGCTCCATGCTCCCTTCCCTGCCCCCATAAAAGGAAGGGAAAAAATGCAAAGCCCTAGCCAGTTTGGCTCAGTGAAGAGCATCAGCCTGTAGACCGAAGGGTGCCGAGTTCGATTCAGGTCAAGGACACATATCTTGGTTGCAGGCTCATTCCTGGCCTGGGCCCTAGTCAGGGCTTGTGCAGGAGGTAACTAATCAAAGTGTTTCTCTCACATTAAGATTTCTGTCTTTCCCTCTCTCTTCCACTTTCTCTAAAAATCAATGGAAAAATATCTTTGGGTGAGGATTAACAAAAAAATAAAAAGTAAAATACTCATTCCTTCAAAAAATAATAATAATTAAAATACCAAGAGGTAAAGATAAATAATCTTAAAAGCAGAAAGAGAAAAGCAGTTAGTTACCTACAAGGGAGTAGCCATACGACTGTCAGCTGATTTCTCAACAGAAACTTCACAGGCCAAAAAGGAGTGGCAAGAAATATTCAAGTGATAAATAACAAGGACCTATAACCAAGATTACTCTACCCAACAAAGCTATCATTTAGAATTGAAGGTCAGATAAACAGCTTCACAGACAAGAAAAAGCAAAAGGAGTTCATCACCAAACCAGTACTACATGAAATGTTGAAAGATATTCATTTTTTGTTTGTTTTCTAATATATATTTACTAGAGACCCAGTGCACAAAAAACATGGGGGGGGGGGGGGGGGAGGCAGTGTCCCTCAGCTCAGCCTGCACCTTTCACAGTCCAGGACCCCTCGCTTCTTACTGGCTGCCTACAGCAGAGGCAGGAGAGGGTCCCGCCATCCCACTGCGCTCACCAGTCATGAGTCTTGCTTCTGGCTGAACTGCACTCCCCGTGGGAGCACGCTGACCACCAGGGGGTAGATGCTCAAAGCAGTAGCTGCCTCCTGGTGCTCAATGTGCATTATAGTGACTGGTTGTTCTGCCGTTCAATTGATTTGCATATTAGGGTTTTATTATATAGGATTGATTTCAGAGAGAAGAAGGAAGAGGGAGAAAAAGATAGAAAGATCAATGATGAGAATCACTGATTGGCTGCCTCCTGCATGCCCCACACAAAGGATCAAGCCCACAACCCGGGCATGTGCCCTGATGGGGAATCAAACTGTGACCTCCTGATTCATAGGCTGATGCTCAACCACTGAGCCACACCAGCCAGGCTGAAGGGTATTCTTTAAAGAGGAAGACACCATAGCTTGTTTGGTTCAGTGGATAGAGCATCAGCCTGCAGACTAAAGGGTCCCGGGTTCGATTCTGATCAAGGCACATGCCTGGGTTGTAGGCTGGATCCTCACTAGGGGGTGTGCAGGAGGCATCCAATCAATGATTCTCCATCACTGATGTTTTTTTCTCTCTCTCTTCCTCTCTGAAATCAATAAAAATACATAAAAATTGCATCTAAAAATAAATGAACAAGAAATCTAATGAACAAAATAAACATGAATAAAACAGAATCAGAGACATAGAAACATGGAAGAGACTGACGAATCTCAGAGGGAAAGGAGGAGTGGGAAAAGATTAACCAAAAATCGTACATGCTTATATGCATTACCTATGGGGCACAGAAAATAGGGTGGTGAAGGCCTGGGATGAAACAGAAATTGGGTGGAGGGGAGCCAAGGGGGGAAAGAAGAACATCTATAATACTCTCAACAATACAAATTTGAAATTTAAAATATATACATGATTAGCAATTAAAGTTCATCTAAGAGTACCAGTTTTATAGACTGATCCCTGCTAAGGCCATCAGCCAGTTTTATAGCCCTTCTACTGGTCCCAGAGGATACTGGATTAGCTGTGGCTTTGACCCATTCCCAACTTTTCTGAAAGCTGTAGTCCGCCTAATTCCGGTCTCTCCATGACAGCAGAGAATCTGTATGAGACAGTTGGAGCTGCTCTGGGCTCCAGAGACAGCAACAGAGACCACTGGCCTCCCTAATTTCCTAGACAGCAGCTGCATAGCCATAATTGGGCTGCTACAAAGTACACCACCCATTTTTAATGACTACCTGGGTTCCCAGGAGCGTCTCAGTCTATGCTCATGAAAGTCCTATTGTGAAAGATCAAGCTTGCCATTGTAAGAAACCAACACCCTTTCTTGTCCTCTGAAAATTCCAGGCAATAGTAACAACTCAAAATTGGCTTCTATGGGCTTCCATCCTGCACACTTGGCTATGGATGCTGACCTTAGTTTGCTCTACAGTAACTTTTATCAGCTCTTCATGCCTTTAAAAATGCTTCCGTTTTTAAACAGAAACAATATTGGTTCTTTGTTCATGAGGAATTTGAAACTTTAACATTTTCATGTTTTTGCTTTTGAAGCAAAGTAATGTAAAGCAATAAATGTAAATCTTGTTTATATGTAGTCTTTTCACAAGTCAAAAGGCCATGTCATTTAACCAAGAATTCAAGTTTAGAACTTTCTAATTGTACCCTCCAACCTTGCCTCAAAGTATTTATTAAGTAGATCTCCTAGAGCCAGCATTCTGGAGTCAGGAGGGATAACTTGGCATCCTCCTTGTGCATAACAAGAAACTAAGGAATACAGAAGGGAAGAAAAAAAAAGAAATAGAGGAGAGGTGGCTCTTCCTACCACAGACTAAAACAGCAGATACCTAGGCTTAAATGGATTAAACTTTGTAAAATCCAATTATCTCTGGAAGTAGAGTCAGGAAGTCATTTAGGTTTGAAAAAGTTCCGAGTAGATTTTCCTGTGGGCTGATACATCTCTATCAACATGACACATGAGCTGCCAGCATTAACTGACTATCTGTTCTGTGCCAGCAGCTGCTAGACACTTCAAGTGCTCTATCATTTTACTACCCCTAATCCCAACTCTCCAATTTAGGGGTTATCACCCAAGTGTTCCAGATGAGAACAGTCTGGGAAATGGCAGATATCCTGTCCAAAGCCACTGGATGGGCTTCCAATCAAGAACTACTGACTCTTAGGGAAAAAAGGATGGAGGAGGATGAACAATGTGCTGGGAAGCCACGGATTCTTTACCTTCTTGGCCAAGGAACCGACAAAGTTTACATATAACAAGAGTTAAAGCTTACCAGGCACATATGCGCACACCGTGGGATTACCTAGTTTAAGCCTCGCATCAATACTATGAGGTAGGTACAATTACCACCCTTATTTGCAAATGAGGAAACCAAGACACAGGGAGGTTAAGGGGCTGACTCAAAGATACACATCTAGCCGCTGCTGAATAGGGCGATCAAAGCGGAGCCTGCCCAGCTCCAGAGCATCACCTTATGTCTCATTAGGCAGGCCTCTTTCGCCCGGAGCCCAAGAGGGCCCGCGTTTTACCCACGAGGCAGGCGGGCCCTGCACAGGCGCTGGACACGGTGACTCAGTCTCCGGCGAGCCTAGAACAGAGAAAGCTCCAGACCCCCCCACCTCCCCGCCCCGCCTCCGACTCCGACTCTCCGACTCTCCGCAGACCCAAGAGGGAGGGAGTGTATGAAGCCAATGGTCCTCAGTCTCCCATCGGGACAATTCGGCGTCGAGGCCTAGGCCTGGCCCTCAGCCGGCACGGACATCCTCCCTCCGCGCCGCTCTCTGAGGCGCCCGAGGGCTGGGGCAGCGGGAGCCGGACTGGGATCACCCCCTCGAGGCCCACGGGGCTCACGCGCCCGATCCTCACCTCCTTTAGGCATCGCGGCTCTGGCAGCTGCGGCGGCGGCGGCGGCGGCGCCTTACACTGACACCGGAACCGGAAATGTCTCGGGCTCGACTTCTTCCGCCCAGCACTGTCCCCTCAGCGCGCCGCCGCCGCCGTCTCCAAGAGAACTGGGCATCTCAGGGAAACAGCTGCGGGGAGCTGGGCTGTCCCGCGCGCCGCCTGCGTTCAAGGCTCGTCAGCGTGCTGCCGGGCAACAGCGCCCCCACGCTCTCCGCCGGGAGAGACGCGTGAGTCGGCTGTCCAACCCTCGGAAAGTGAGAGCAAAAAAGCAGCGGCACATCTGGTTTTCTTTACAGGCAGGGCTTTGGACACCTAAGATGACGCAATATTTGCGCGAGGTGGGGCGGGGCTCCGCGAGGACCTCATCCTGAAGGGATAATCTGGAAGCGGAAGTGGACGGGAACAGAAGCGACGGCTACTACGCCGCGGGCTCCTGTTGTTTCCCTCTGTCTTCTGCATCCCTGGGAGAGTGGCTCGGCTACCCGACAGCACTAGAGGTGGGTGTTTTTCTCTGTTCTCGAGTGTCTTGGTAAAGGCGGGCTGGGGATTGGAGGTCTGCGCTGGCCTAGAGGGCGTTCTGGGCGGCTGGACTGGGACGGGTTCGGGCCTCTGGAGATGGGGGTGAGTTACGGAGAGGATGGGAGATTTGGGAGTTCTCTTGTTTCCATCCTTACCCCCCCCCCCTTCCCATACACAAGCTTTTTTTCTCTGCCAAGAACGTGTTTTGTTTTGTTTTTGTAAAAATCCGCTTGTTCTTGTAAGCCCGGTTCAGATGCTGTCTTTGTGAACCTTCCTTCCAACTCTAGTTGTATCGTCTTCCCTCCTTTCTTCCGAAAGTCCCACCTCCCGCCTCTGCCGAGCGCTGCTACTTTTCTTATACCTCCCGGCACCTCTTCTTGGTTTCGTTTATCTCCTACCCGTTACCTGCCCTGAGAGGCCTCCTCTTGACTCCCAGGCTGGGCCAGGGCCCTTGAATTTCCCCGGGTGACTGCAGAGCGGTTGTTCCCGTGTCTTTGTTCTGCCAGCCGTGGGCGCCGGGGCAGGAACCAGATTCCACCCTTCTTTAGTTCCAAGTGTAAGGGAAACAAGTGCAAAGATCGCGGGTTTGGGAGTCCCGAGCTTCCAATCAGAGTCATACGCTGCCAGTTCCAGGCTGTGCGACCTTGACTTTAGTAAACCTTGTGGGATTTAATTCCTGTGTGGTTGTTAGGGGAAATTCCAGAAAGGAAGCTGTGGGGTGGGGAGGGGGCTTTGTAAGCTGTCAAGGACTGGACAGAAGGGAGGGACTGAATGAATTTGGGAGAGGAGAATCTGCTTTGCTTAAAGGTAAGGAGTAGCCCTAACCGGTTTGGCTCAAAGGATCGAGCGTTGGCCTGCAAGGCCTGCGTATTGAAGGGTCCCAGGTTCGATTCCGCTCAAAGGCATGTACCTTGGTTGCAGGCACATCCCCAGTAGGGGCTGTGCAGGAGGCAGCTGATCGATATTTCTCTCTCATTGATGTTTCTAACTCTCTAACCTCCCTTCCTCTCTGTAAAAAAAAAATATGTTTTTTTTAAAAAAGGTAAGAGGTAACGAGTTCTCTTTGCTATCTAGTATATGCTATGAGGTTTGAAAATATTTCTTTACTATTTATTTACATTTGGGCTGGACTGTTATATGACCTTTACATGATTTGCCTCTATGTAGTATGTTTGTTGAGTTTAAAAAGAGATGTTGACAAACGAGCTAACCCACTGCCCTCATTTTACAGATGAGACTGAATACCAGAGTGGGAATGTGACCTCCCCAAAGTCGCAGAGTAATTGATAGAGCTAGAAAAGAGAGATCTTTCAGCTACAGTCATTGGGAGTAGCCTTGAGGTACTTTTATTTTACATGGCCTTTATCCCTTTTTTTTTTTAATAATAAAATTAATTGTTAATGTTTTGAGAAAGAGAGAGAGAGTTTTACATGGCCTTTATCCCTTTTTTTTTTAATAATAAAATTAATTGTTAATGTTTTGAGAGAGAGAGAGAGAGAGAGAGAGAGAGAGAGAGAGAGAGAGAGAGAGAGAGAGAAACATTGATATGAGAGACTTACATTGTATGTGCCTAGACTAGGGATTGAATTCACAACATAGATATGTGCCCTGGCCGGGAATCAAACCCAAGACCTGGTATGCAGAATGTGGCTCCAACCAACTTAGCCACAGAGGCCAGGGCTCTTTTTCCTTTTTAAACACTCATCCTCTCAGCTCCCTCAATCAGTTGTCACACTTTTTGTAATTGCCTTTTTACTTTCTATCTCCTTGCTAGAATGTCACCTTCTCAGGGACAGAGATTGTGTCTTATTCTTTGTTCTATGTTCCCAATATACAGTACAGGGACAGGCTAATAGTTGGTGTCAGTTAATGATAACAGAAAGAAAAGAAAAAAAAAAAAAAACATTAAAAGCCAGGCATGTTACATGCAGTTATAGTTAAGTCTTCACAATGACCCCATAAATTCTATTATCCCCATTTTACAGATTTGATAACAGAGTTAGTGAAGCCAACGTACACAGTGGAGGCTGGTGAAGGACTTTGGTGATCAGAAACTAATTCATTTAATTTTCCCTCCTAGATCTTTGCAAATTATCTTGTGGGGAAAAATGCCTAAAGTCAAGAGAAGCCGGAAGGCTCCCCCAGACGGCTGGGAGTTGATTGAACCAACACTGGATGAATTAGATCAAAAGATGAGAGAAGGTGAGTTGGGGAGTTCCTGTCTGGATCAGCTGCATCCGAGAGACAGGCTTAGATGTCTCTGTGGGCCAGGCTTAAATCAAAGGGAGAGGGTACTACTGTGGCCTCCAGACAGTGATTTGATTTGTTTGCCTATTAAGTCATAAGAGTGAAATAAGTGTCAGAAAGTAAGATAACACTAATGAGCCGAAACCGGTTTGGCTCAGTGGTAGAGCGTCGGTCTGCAGACTGAAAGGTCCCAGGTTTGATTCCGGTCAAGGGCATGTACATTGGTGTGGGCACATCTCCAGTAGGAGGTGTGCAAGAGGCAGCTGGTCGATGTTTCTCTCTCATCGACATTTCTAGCTCTCTATCTCTCTCCCTTCCTCTCTGTAAAAAATCAATAAAATATATTTTAAAAAAAAAAGATAACACTAATGAAAGGGGCCTCAAGAAATTTTTGGGCCAATTTTAATATAAAAGTTTTAGGGAATATAGATCAAATAGTTTACCTATAATTACTATTTTGATTGGATATATATATTTTACATGATACAAAATATATTTACTTGGAAAATCCTGTTCTTTTCACTTTTTTCTGAAACATATTTATTCAGATTTTTCTTATGGGTTTCTGACACTGTTTTTCTCATCTTTGTTTCTGCATCATCAACCAGTTTTCCAAAATGCACCATCTTCACTTCCCTCTAAATGCTGTATGACTCTGTACTTTGTGAAGTGTAGTGTGCTGTTTTGGAAATTTTATCATAAGTCACAAGCATCTGTTGGCTTTATATAATCACAGGATAACAACTTACTAAATTGCTTTTTAAAGTGGTCTTTTTTTTTTAAGTTTTGAGGTAACTAATCTAACCTTTTTATTGTGAAGTCATGCCTACAACAGTAATTACTAAGTCAGTGTTAAATTATTTTGCTTCTTCTCAGAATCTCTATTAAATACCCAGAACCTAAAGTAATCAACATCATTTTGGGCTGAGTGATTTCTTTCCCAAACAGATCTTTATTCAAAATAAAGGAACTTTGGAAAGTGCTATGAGAATCCTTGAAAAAAATCTTCCACTTTAAGGGATGACTTTTGGAGGGGGAGGCTAGTTAAAAGAATATGATTTTCTTCACCTCTAAAAGAAGTATTCTTTCTCCCATTTTTATTTAACCATGTTGCCCTTCAGCATGTCTTTGCTTTCCCATTTTACTCTTGCTTCCACTAGAAAGAAAGCAGAGTGGATGCCAGGTGGTACCAGACTTGGCTTCAGTGTTGGGCACCATAGGGAGGGAGGGAGCCCTGGGGATGTGGCAGATTGGAGAGGGGCAGAGGCTGCTACTTACCTGGAGCCCGTTTTACCACATCGAATACAGGCTGAGCATTTCCAAATGTGTTAAATTTTTTCCCCTTCAAGACAAGCCAGAAAGCCAGCTGTTTTGTGCGAACTCTCCTAATTTAAAATTCAAACTTAAAGAAGTATTTTTGGGAGGAGCCAAACAAAGCCTGCAGCTTCCATTCTGTAGCCTCCGGTACAAGTTTTGCCTGAGTCTGTGGCAGTGTTTCTGGGCCACGTGTGGCCTTCGGCAAAGAGGCACAAAGCCAGTGGCATTACCAGCCCTGTTCTCTTGGTCTGAGGGCCATTAACAGAACCACCACACTTACTGGAGCAGTGGGCACTGTTCCTTAGGAAGGAAAGTTTCTGTTTTCTCTCTGCTTGTCCCCAGTATTTCCTAGCTCAGAACTTCTCAGCTCTTCATATGTCCCTTACTCATTACTCAAGTTTGTGTATAGCCACTGTTGCTCTGTAAGTCCCCCACAAAAAAGGGACTACGGGCAGAGATGGCGGAAATTACGTGTGGCAGAGGGTTATATGGGGATTTGACAAAGACATTCTCTCTATGGACTATAACTGAGACTTGTAAATAAGTGTGTGTGTGTGTGTGTGTGTGTGTGTGTGTGTGTGTGTGTGTGTTTATTTTTAATTTATTTATTTTTATTAAGATATTATATGTGTACATACCTTACCAATCCCTTCCACCCCCACTCCCAAACATGCCCTCCCTCCCATAGTTTTTCTTCCATTGTTTATGCTTATATGCATGCATACAAGTCCTTCGGTTAATCTCTTATCTCCCCCATATCTCCCTACCCTCCCCACTGTAATTTGACAATCTGTTTGTTTCTTTACTGTCTCTGTATCTATCTTTTTGTTCATCAGTTTATAATGTTCCTTATTCATAAATGAGTGAGATCATGTGGTGTTTTTCTTTCATTGACTGGCTTATTTCACTCAGCATAATGATCTCCAAATGATAAGAATTTCTTCTTTCTTACGGCAGCATAGTATTCCATTGTGTAGATGTAGTAAATAACTGTTTTTATAAGGACTTTAAACTAGTTGAAAATTGAGCATAATCAACACTTGCATAATAAACATTTAATTAGACTTTTAAATAATAGTACTGTAAAAGAAGTGTTGCCAGATTTTGAAGTTAATGGGCTGTTTTTGACAATAGCAAAGAGGTAGACATGTAAGTCTAGACTATGGCACGATGTCCCCTACCTCTGGCTTCTTATAATCTCATAGTGATGAGACTTCACTTCACCCACTAAAAGCTGCCTTCTCCTTCGTGTGTGAACCTGTACAAAACGATAGCCAAGAATGATCATTTGGTCTTGTCCTGGCCAGTGGCTCAGTCTACTGGAGTGTCGTCCAGTACACCAAAAGGTGTGGGTTTGATTCCCAGTCTGGGCACACATATGAGTTACAGGTTCATGATTACTGGTCAGGGTTTATACGGGAGGCAACCAATCAGTGTTTTTCTTTCTTTCTTTTTTTAATATAAATGTACCACAGCTTTTGTTTTTTTTAAAAATATATTTTATTGATTTTTTTACAGAGAAGAAGGGAGAGGGATAGAGAGTTAGAAACATCAATGAGAGAGAAACATCGATCAGCTGCCTCCTGCACACCCCCTACTGGGGATGTGCGGCCAACCAAGGTACATGCCCTTGACCGGAATCAAACCTGGGACCTTTCAGTCTGCAGACTGACCGCTCTACCACTGAGCCAAACCGGTTTCGGCCGACCATGACTTCTTGGTTCAAAGGTCAACACTCAACCACTGAGCCATGCCAGCCGGACCCCTTGTTTCTTAAGTCTCTGTTTAGATACCTCCTTTGTGCTTTCTTTGGTCATCTATAAAAAATGGCAGTCCCTCCTTTCCCCACTTGCCATCTGTTACAACTTAACTACTACCGTGTTTCCCCGAAAATAAGACCTAGCGCAATCTGGGAGAAAAAATTAATATAAGGCACTGTCTTATTTTCGGGGAAACAGGGTAGGTGTTGATTGGTTTCCTCCCCTGGAACACAGCTCCATGGCTTCTCTGTCTTCCCTACTGCCATGTCTTGGGCACCCAGAGCAGGGCTCTCCCCACATGAGACACGGTACACTTTTGCTATGTCCTCAGCACCTACATCTTGATTCAGTCACAGAAACCATTTGTTGAGCTGAATTATAAATCCTATATTTTAAAAATGGCCTCAAAGTGGAGAAATGGAGGTATGGTTTTGTTGTTTTGTGTTTTATTTTTATACCATTCCTCACCTTTCTCCTCTGCTCTAAAAACCAAGAGGAGGTGGTAGATAAAGATCAACTTGTAAGAAAGAGAATTGCTGGTGGCAGGTGTGAGCTGCTACCTGATCCTATATATATAGATGGAGTAGTTATTTCCTATAGGCCTGCCATACTATGAACTTTCAGATTAGTCCAATTTTATTTTTCTTTTATCCCTGACGGGTTTTGATTGGCAATGAAATTAGAGGTACTTTAAAGATTATTAGGATGCCCTTCTGTGGGCCCAGAACTATGTTGAGAAATTATGAGGCTGTAGAAAGAGGTTTGGAAGGATAAAGGCCAGGGTTTTCATAGAGGTTATGTTTGAATTATTTTTCAAAATCTTTTGTTTTCTAATTTATGTAATTAAAAAGGCATTTTAAGTTTAAAATAATTATGTCTGGCCGGCATAGCTCAGAAGTTGAGCATCATCCTATGAACTAGAAGATCACACGGTTCAATTCCTGGTCAGGGCACATGCCTGTGTTGCAGTCTCGATCCCCAGTGTGGGGTGTGCAGGGAGCAGCCAATCAATGATTCTCATCATTGATGTTTCTATCTCTCTCCGTCTCCTTTCCACTCTGAAATCAATAAAAATGCATTTAAAAAATAATTGTTTAAATCATGTGGCTTATTCTTTTTACTTTATTTTTTTTAAATAGCTATATTAAAATAGAAATCATATAATATAAAATTTGCTCTTTCAGTGTTCAACTAAAGGGTGTTTTTAGTATAGTCACAGAGTTGGGCAACCCATCACCACTATCAGTTTTACATTCATTTCCCCGAAAACAATGAATACACTTTAGTAGTCATCTCCCCCCTTCTTCACACATCTCCCAGTTTTAGGCAATCAGTAATCCACTTTTGTCTCTAAAGACCTAGAACCAAATGGTAGGTTGGCTTTGGGGACTAGTTTTCTTTCATTTAGTGTAATATTTTAAAGGTTCATCTATGTTGTAGCATGTATCAATACTTCATTCCTTTTTATGACTCAACTAATGCACAAAATTAGTGCACATTGAAAGGAAATTAATTAGAAGAAATATTTAATATTGCTATTTGCCCTTTATAATAGAAGTGTCAGAGATGAAAGAAAATTAGTAAAATGTGTTTGAAAATATATAAATTGATTAATAAATAACAACATGATATAACAAAGACATGATATAAAAACAAACGGGATATAAAAACAATGACTGATAAATTAATTAATTAAATAAAATAAATTATTCTAATATCTCCCTGTATACCACATTAAGAATAAAAACACTTTATGAGTGCTTAACTAATTTCCCTTGTGATGAAATATTTACAACTTTAACTTTATTGTCACATGTTCTTTGAACTCGAGAAAAAGCAACGTATAACTGACCACGTCCCAAAACGGGTTCAGGTAGGAATATTCCTACTCTGTCTAGATCGGGGCCAGTGAGATCTTTATACGTATCGCACGTGCGCGAGTCAACATTTACTTTTAAGTTGCCAGTGTGCGTCATATGTACTGGTCGGATGGTTGGTCACTTAGTCTTTTATATAATGGTTATATTCCATTGATGGTTTACATTTTATCTGTTTATTAGTTGATGGACACTGAAATTGTTGCTACGTTGTGGCTATTGTGAATAATGCTTCTGTGAACATTCACATAAAAGTTTTTGTGTGCATGTGTGTTTGATTCTCTTCGGTATATACTCAGGAGTAGAATTGCTAAGTCATATGGTAACTCTGTTTATCTTCCTAAGGAACTGCAGATTGTTTTCCAACCAGGCTGCACTAGTTTACATTCCCAGCAGCAGCATGTGAGGATCCCGATTTCTCCACATCCTCACTACTTTTTGTCTTTTTTTAATTGTTCCTCATTTTTTATTGTAGCTACCCTAGTGGGTATAAAGTAGGATTTCTTCTTTATACCTGCTTATTAAAAAAAAGAAAGAAAAAAAACACACACTATATCCTGTGCAGAGTAACCCTGCTTGTCAAAATAAATCGAACACCTTTTTCTCCCCAGCTGAAACAGAACCTCATGAGGGAAAGAGGAAAGTGGAATCTCTGTGGCCTATCTTCAGGATCCACCACCAGAAAACCCGCTATATTTTTGACCTCTTCTATAAGCGGAAAGCCATAAGCAGAGGTAATTGACTAGATTCTCTCTTAGCCTTTCTAACTTGAGTACCTTTGAGATTTATTTAAGTAATGGCTCTATTATAGCAACGTCAGCAAGTTTCATGATTTTTCTTACCACTAAAAAAGGGGTGGGGGCAATGCTGGATATTCTATTTAATGAAGAGTAGTGATGGGCCAGGGGTGGGGCAAGCTTCGTTATACCATGATTTGATGCCCTTTTCTGATCTTTTTGACAGAACTATATGAATATTGTATTAGAGAAGGCTATGCAGACAAAAACCTGATTGCAAAGTGGAAAAAACAGGGTTATGAAAACTTATGCTGCCTGCGGTGCATCCAGACACGAGACACCAATTTTGGGACGAATTGCATTTGCCGGGTTCCCAAAAGCAAGCTGGAAGTGGTAATGTCTATCCCTATAATGAGTGACTATTGAATTTGATGTCACTTTCATTTCAGAATTCTGTCCTGGTTGACACCAAGAGAGCTTATACTTTTGGGGGGCTGGAAATAATTTGGTTGCTGGATGTCCTGCTGGCCATTCCCTCCCACCCCCATCCCAGAAGTGGGTCCTTCTGTTCAGGAAACCATCTAGGCAGTTTGGCAGTAATTGTATTTGCTTTGTCTGGGGGCAGTCTTAACTCCCATCTTTGAGCAAGTTATTGAATTTCTTGCTTATTACAAAAATGGGAGTAATAACACCTGCTTTATGGTGGTTGGGAGGACTGATTCAGGGAAGGGTGAGCCAGTCAGTAGTACTCACTCTTCAGCTGTTATTTTTCCAGGCCTCGGCACTTCAATTACACTATTTCTTCCGTCAGAACTTTTGAGTTCCAAACCTCAGAAATAGTGCTGATATGCAGTAACTGAGCTGAGAGTACAAGCCCCTCTGAAATGGGGCTATAGGAGACAGAGAAGTTACTGGGATGTTGGCCATTATGGCCTTTGAATGCAGCCCCTTAGCTGACAATTGTGGGTCCAGTTGGGAACTGAATCCAGATTTTTTGCCTTCTGGGTTGGTCTTCCAGTCACTACAGGGACCTTTACTCTGCAGACCAGTTACAGTTTGTAGTTTCGGCTCTGGGCCAGGGCTTTAGATTAGTAGGCAGCTGTCTCCCTGAATCGTCTGGAAAGTCAAAGGAATAGCATTCTGAGCAGTGGAAAGTGAACGAGGGCTGCCTCCCCAAGGGAAGGTTCTGGGTGTTAGTTTTCTGGGGGTAGAGCAGCAGGAGTCCCTATCCACCAGATTCCATGTCAGTGTCTGCCCCAGCCTTATGGCCAGAACAGAGCCTGCTTTGGATTTAGTTTGGTTTCACCATCAGATTTTATTTGCTTAGGTAAGGATCTTACTCCAAAAAAGAGGAAAATAAATATAACCACTGCTTTGAGGTCTTCTGTCTACTGGACAGGCCCCTGGCCTGGGAGAAAAGACTTCTGCTGCTGTACAGAATCAAGTGCATACCATTCTCTCCCCATGGCCTATTGGAAGGTTCCCCAGCCCAGAGGACCCGAGATCCCTGAACAGTAGGAATCCTACTCCCCTCCCCCCACAGCTCATAGCAGGGTATGTCATGCTCGCTTTGCAGATTAACAAGAGTCACACAGATTTTTTTCCCAAATGTGTTTAATTAGCTTAAATTAAAAGTACAATGAGTTGTAACTTCAGTGTCAACAGCAGCTGTTTCCATTTTCACACGGGAACTGAATTTTTGTCATCCAGAACTGTCAGAGGAATTTCTGAGGAGTGCCCTATAGCGAGTGACTACATGTGTGGGTGGTGGGGGGTTGGGGTGTGGCATAGGGTTGGGTGCAGTGTCTCAACTGTCTTCTGTTGCAGGGCCGGATCATTGAGTGCACACACTGCGGCTGCCGGGGCTGCTCTGGCTGAGGCCCTTGGGCCTGACCCCTTTCCACCCAGGACTTTGGACTTCTCAGGTTTCTGCCTGTCGTGACACCCCTTTTTCTGATAGCAGCTCTTCTGGCAGAGCAGTGCCACAGGACCGAGTTGGAGCATGGTCTCTATATGTGAAGGCTTTGATGTTCATCAGTTGTGATTTGTAGAAATAAAACTTTTAAACCTTTAGGTCCTGCAATAGTTCTTTACAGAGCCCAGTGGGAGAGCACCAGGGCCACTGGGACTCAATTCTGACCACCTCATGTGACCATGATCAAGTTCACTGGGGAAGACAACCTCAGGTGAGGATGGCCTGAGATGATGGGCCAAAGTGGTTCAACCCGTGCTGGGATCCACTGGGATCCTGTCAGGCACCCTGGGCCCAGCATTTATCTTTATACAAAAATGCTGCAATTCTTACTCTGGCCAGTCCTTGTCCTCATGCTTGAGGCTACACCAGCATGTTCATGTGTCTTTACTACGAAAGGGATTCCTGAAGTTCCCACAAAGCACTGTGAGGCTGTGCACTTTGTGCCAGTTCTGCTGGATAGAGATCCCCCTGGGCCTCCTCATCACCTGCCCCCATGGCCTCTGTCCACATCAGCCTCACAGACAGGGTCTTGGTCCCCGCTGGGCTTGGTCCGGAACTTCTGCCATGGGTGGGGGGCTTCCTCTGCGGGCATCATTGTCAGCCATTGCTTATAATAAGCTCGAAAGCCATCAATCTTCTCCAAGTAGGTGTTTTTCCCTTTGTACTGTAATTGAAAAGCATGGAATTCAAGGATTCAGAGGAGCCACAATTAGAATCACTGCATGCTACCTACAGCTAATCTCAAACCACAGCAGCTGGCTCAGGCCTCAAGGAAGCTGTGGAAAGGAGAGGGCACAAAAGCTGTTGATAATACCCGAGTATAATGTAGAAAAGCAAAGTTGCTATACCATAAGGCTGACTCAAATCCCCATCTGCTAACAGCCCTTCCTAAATATGTGTTGTTCTCCTATACTCAAGGATGTTATTCCAACCCCTAGCTAGAATCGCTAGGTCCCACCAACTCTACCTCCACAGTCTGCAGAGTGCTGCTACCTCTGCACAGCCACTGTCCCCTGGTGACTGTCATCTCAGCACTGCTGCAGTGACCTCTACAGAGAGGTGTACCAGGCAGATACCAAAGAAGGCTGGTGGAGGAATAGACAAAAAACAAAAGTACCAGAGATATACTTACCACATGATGATAAAAGGGTTGATTCAAAAAATTTATTCTAAACTTGTATGTATCTAATGTAGCCTGAAAGTACATAAAGTAAAACCTTTTCCATCACAAGCAGAAATAAGTCCACTCTCATAAGGCAGTATGAATGTATGATTTCAATACAGTTAAGCTTTAAGTACTTAGGTCTGGGGACTGCTGACAACCTTAGTGGGCCCTACACCACAGGGTGAAGAGACAACCTACTAACTAGATACTGGCAACATGCAACCAACAAAACTAGTATCCAGAATATATAAAGAACTCAGAAATCGATAAAACTAAACAACAAAAGACTAAACCAACTGTTCAAAAGCACACAGCTTTGTCCTCTTCCTGGCATACTCTTCACTGCTATCACTAATTCTTCCTGAACCTTCAATGGCACTCAAGCACTGCACCTGCACAGCTATCCTTGACCCCATGCCTCCATGGTGGAGCTTGGTGTGTCCTTGCCAACTTTTCTCCCTACCTATTGGGATGGTGCTTCTCCAGGCTAAATCTGGCACACAGTCTGCCTCAGTAGGCCTAAAATCTGAACCCTCGGATTCTGATATCCTCAGAACGGCAGACAGAAATGGCCGTTAAAGAACAGAGTCTATCACTGTCCTACTGCCGTCCCCTTTCATTTGACAATAGTCCGACTGGGTACAGGCAGAGGGCGGGCACTAGGGATCCAGGTGAGAAAGGCAGAGACAGTCTCCACCTCTAGAGGCTTATAATTTCATGAAGGTGAGAGTCACACATCTAAGTATAAGCTGTGAAACATGATGAAAAGAAATAGTGCTTTATGTAATGGGAAGGGAAGCAGCTGAGTATCCTCTGAGAGAGCCTCTTATACATGTGATGGAGCCAGGTATGTGAAAAAGCAGAGGGAGTATATTTAAGGCAGAGAGAATGCAAAAGCCTGAGGCAGGAAAAAGGCTGGTGCTACCTAGAAAAGACAAGTACAATTGGATTGACAGTGAACAAAGGGAAGAGTGGCAAGCTGTGGCCTAAGGCAGTCGTCAGCAAACTCATCAGTCATCAGAGCCAAATATCAACAGTACAACGATTGAAATTTCTTTTGAGAGCCAAATTTTTAAAACTTAAACTTATACCCTGTTTCCCCGAAAATAAGACAGTGTCTTATATTAATTTTTTCTCCCAAAGTTGCGCTAGGTGTTATTTTCAGGGGATGTCTTATCTTTCCGTGCGCTAGATCTTATTTTCGGAGAATGTTATTTTCGGGGAAACACGGTAGGTAGGTGCATTGTTATTAACTTAATTAGGGTACTCCTAAGCTTGGCCTTTGCTAAAAACTCAAGGGGCCAAAGAGCTACATGTGGCTCGCGAGCCACAATTTGCCGACCACTGGCCTAATGAGTTAGGGATTTTTCCTAAGGGTAGCCACTGACAACTTAAAGCAAGGAAATACCAATCCCAGAAGGCCAGAACCAGGGGTGGGGAGTGGCCCTGGCTAAGGTGACCACGGGCACATTAGAGCTTGGGGCACATACCCGGTCAAAGGTGGGTGGGTACTGGGCTGCAAACTCCAGTTGGCGGATGATGACTTCATTCACTGGGACTCTGTTCTGCCTCATGTCCTTCAGGATGTTGATGAGATAAGTGTAGTCCAGCTTCTTGAGGGCCGCATTGATGAGGGTGCTGTAGATGTGGGTGTTGGGGGTCATCTGGGACTTCTGGGACATCACAGACATACAATCAGCGAGAAGATGGTGATTGTCGGGGGGAAGCTTGCTGCATGGTCAGCTTGGTGAGTTACCCTGCCAGTCACGCCTGCTCTGCAGACTAGTGACCCAGGGACAATAAGGGCAGAACCTCGTAGCAACAATGGGCTGCACTGCCCCCTCCAAAAGGAAAGCACAGATGCCCCACAATATTCTCTCTCCTGAAGAACGTGGAGAAAGAATATTGCTCTCAGAGATCAACGGAAGCAGGCAGTAAACCATGGGCAGGAGACCACCTCCTCAGTTCTTGGCTGTGGGTTTACTAGATCCCGAGCCCCCACCCAAGAATTCTACTACATCCCTGCGCTCTATCCTCCAAAGTGTTCGGGCCAAGCCCTATCCCCACTCCTCAATCTCACCCCGCTGCCACCGCTTTCAAGATTGTAACATCCCTGCTCTCAATGCCCATTCCTGCAGCAGCTCACCAAAGTCTACTTTCTCCCATATTGGGCCAATGATCATTCTACACTTGAAGCTAGAATGACCCCACTCTCCCTGCCCCCATCCCCACAATTTATTCTATCCAACCAGCTCCCATAATTCAGCTTTCTATAAGGACACCTTGCAGAGGTTTGGGAGGACCCCATCTTCCCCCCCGACACACATTTCCTCCTGAGTACCTCCAGTGCTCCTCAGCACCATGGGTCCTGCCCAGGCCTGGGCTCGCTCACCTTCATGTCTGCCAGCAACTGCAGACCGTCCTGTGGTTTACGGCATCCAATGGCCAAATTGCAGAATGTCTGGACGTTAGGGACAATTCTCCTCTTTGCCAGGGCTGGCAGCAGTGCCTATGGGAATAGACATGGGATCACCGTAAGCTGTACCCCACCAACCCCAGCAAAAGCTGTCTGTCAAAGCCCTTGGCTGGATGCTGGATACACGAGAGGTAGAGCTTTGCTCCAAGGCCTCAGGCTCCCTCTGCTGGCCACGTTGGGCACTGGCCTCAGCCCATTATTCAAGGGCCCAGGGTCCTGTGTAGCCACCTCCTAAAAATACAGCTGTTTTGCAAGTCCACCTCGCATTCTAGCTTGCCTGTCTCCAATATGCTGTCCTTCTCCCTGAATGCCCTTCATATTCCTGTCTCTCTCTACTCTTGGCCATCCATCCCTGCACTTGGGCTTCCAATGTCCATGGAGTACCAGAGGCCTTAGGGGCGCATGGTCCCGTGGTCCAGGGAGGGAGATGCCAACAACAGTGTGGTAAGTGCTGGCTGACCCAGAGAAGGTTCTGCAGAGGGGCTCTATCATATGTAGCTTCTCTAGAGAAAGGTGCACTCTGCACTGTGAGCCCAATACAGAGGCTGTCTTTGTCATCTTTGATGTTCACAGGTGCACAGATAGTACTCTGCAAAAAAAGGCATCACAGAAACATGCCATATGAACGGAGGGCCCAGTGTCCTCATCAATGAAGTGGGTGTGGTCAGTAAAGAAACAAATGGATGTGGAGTCTTAGAACAGCATCTGGGACAGAGTAAGAGTGAGTCAGTGAGGTGGGGTGGCTGAAGGGTAGGGATACTCAGGAGCCACCAGCCACCAATCTGTGAGCTCCTTGAAGAGGGCTGAGAAGGTAGCTCGCTCGATTCCCAGCTTTTCACCTGAGCCCATGCCTAGAACAGGGCTCTGGACAGTCTGCCCACTGACTGGAAATGGATGACACCCCTGGCAGGGAACACGGCCCACAGCTGGAAGGTCCGAGGAGGGAGGGGGAAGGAGGGGTCCAGAGCAGAGTCCCGTGCCTGCCTCCACACTCACCTTTGCCCCCTCCAGGTCACCCAGCTTGCTCTTCTTCCTCATCAGAGTGTTGAAGAATGTCACATCGGCCTCCACCTGGTATGTGTCCAGGACAGTCAGCAGTGAGGACTCTGCGGGGCTCCCAGGATCTACCACCTCGGCCAGAAGCGTGAGGGTTTTGATGTCAGGCCGGAGTCCATGCTCTGCCATCTTGCCCAGGAAGCCCTCCAGGCCCCCCATCAAAGCCAGCCTGTCTGCCGATGTGGTCACGGTCCCAAAGGAGACCA